TACTTATTGTATTTTTCACTGATGTCCTTCCCGATCAAACAAAATGGGACTTGCCACCCATTCCTTAATGTATTTTTAAACATCACGTATTTATCAAAAAAAAAAAAAAAAAAAAAAAAAAAAAAAAAAAACGATGTGCCATCAGTATGGTTGATGTCGATACTATGTTGGATTTCACCTTGAATTTATCGAGAAATCCAACCATAGCTCTACAAATGTTGAAATCTTCTTTTACAGGGGTCAAAAAATCTCAAACATATGTAGGATCTATTACAATAAAGTAAATGTTATTTTTTTTAAACAACTTTAATACCTCTTCTTTAGGAGCCTGTATCTCATTAAATATATAACAAAATAATTCATTTAAATAGTGTAAACTATTGCTTAAATTATGACTACAAGCTGGAAAAAAATCGGGCTAATCAGACAAATAACGAAGACGTTATGATAGTTCAAAGTTAGCTAAAAGTTTGCAAACATGCTGAAACATAAAACTCAGCATCAATACCCCATGTTTAGGGGTCTGTATCTCATTGAATATACAACCAAATAATGCATTTAAATAGTGTAAATTGTAGCTTAAAATTTGAACTACAAGCTGGAAAAAAATAGGGATGATCGGACAAATAATAGATACGTTATGTGTAACACCCGCGTTTTCCGCTAGACAATTAATAAGATGATATAATAGTTAGGGTCAACAATTGTAACTTATTCGATACGACTTAACATTTTCTTCAAGAAAGTATTCGACGAATCTATTTGAAATTATGGTTCTACATGGCAAAACTACGTTTCCCATTCAATGCATTTGTATACTCAAAATATGATTCATTATCTACCAACTTAAATGGTAATTCTCCAACTACAAATAAGTTTAACAAATCTTTTTTTATTCTTTTCTCATCATGCTTCCAAGTCCCAATATTATTCTTCCTGTTTTCATTTATTTTTCTTTGAAATTTAAAGTGGTTTGGTTTTCTAGTTTATTTTTTATTTTATTATTATTACTAGTTTTTTTTTTTTTTTTTAAGTATTGTTTCTGCCGGATTCAGTTTTAAGCAACGTGCCACACTTTTAGAAGTATCGTTTCTGCCGGATTTAGTGTTGAGCAACGTGCCACACTTTTTGCATTAGCTATGTCTAACTTTATCAATATAGAATACATCATAATTGGTTCTAAAAGAACAAATATGTTTACTTTCACCATTAAATTCTCTCATTCAAGGTTCTAAAAAAAGTTGCTTTTAATTATCTCTCATTGAAGGTCAAAATCCCCATTGCTTGGACTTATAGAGAAAATGTAAACTTTTAAGATGTGCCATAACACATTCAAATTTCAACTGATAACATACATAATAACACACTGAAAGATTGAGCAGTAGATTAACACATTCAAATTTCAATGAGTAATATACATAATAACACATTGAATGATTAGGTAGTAGATTAAGATACAATACTTACTTGAGTTTCTTGACTTGGAATCCAATTTTCCATGACTTGAATAGAGTTCGATCACAGTAGAAACTAGAAAACGAGGATGAGTATACGATTTTTTTCCTTGCGTGAATCAATCAAGGGGATAATCGGTTTCTTGAGTCACGACAGTGGTCGACGATTTCACGATAATCGACGCAAGATCAGTTCGAACTTCGATTTCAAGATAGTCGGTCGCTGATTGTTTTTGTGATATTTTGATCGATATCTTCGTCGTTTTTTCCTGGTTTGTTGGGCAACGAGAGAAAACGCCATCGATCAATTCGTGACTTTTCAAATTCGGGTTTTGTCTATTTGTCCTAATTAAGCCCTTATTCGGGTAACTCGAACCGAATAACTCGAAAACCGAATAAGCCTCATATAGATACCCGAAAACTGAATCGAACTGCTTATTCGAGCCTAATTCAGTTCGGTTTGGATTTTCAGGCCAAATTTTCATCCCTATCTGTTACGGACTAAAATCAAAACAAATCTAAACCAAAGAGACTTTTCGGTTAAAAAAAAGTTAAAAGACCTAACGTGAAAACAATCCTAAACTACAGGGGCGATTCACGTAGTTTGTCCCACAATTAAAAGATTTCCAATCCTCGAGTGACACATAGTCCTATCCCCAGAATTCCCTCGATCCGACAATCGTACCCCCAATCCGACAATCGTTATATATAGTACCTAGGCAGTATAATGTTCTTGTAGTGGTTACATTGAATGGAGTCTGCGAAGTTAGAGATCGTCATCCACTGCGCAAAGGGTCTCAAAAATGTCAAACACCTTAGCAGCATGAATCCCTACGCAGCTGTTTGGATCGCTGGAGATGGCGAGTTATCCAAACCTCAGGAAACACATGTTGCAGAAAAAGGCCATTGTAATCCTACATGGGAATGTTCCATGCATTTCAATATTATCTCCATCAACACAAAGTCTACCCTCTGCTTTAAGATTATACACCGCGGGCTGTTGACGAAACGGAAAATAGGAGAAGTTCAAGTGCCGTTTACAGTACTTCTTGCTGGAGATGCTCGTGAGTGTTGTAAAGGCATATACCAGGTGACCATACCATCTGGTAAGAAACAGGGGGAAATTATAGTATCACATAAATTCTCAGAATTGGCTGTTAGTTCAAGTAAAGATGATGGCAGTGGCCCAAGCAGGGTTACTCGCGGTCTGAGAAGGAAGAAACCTGGAACATTTAAAATGGTTACAACAAAAGTATTGGAAAAAGCAGGTTATAGTGCGGTTGAAGGTATCACTTCGGGTGTGGCTACGACTGGCACAACGTTTTTGATGCAGCAATCCCTTAAGGATGAAGATGAAGATGAAGATAAAGATGAAGATGAAAGACGAAGATGAAGATGAAATTTAAAGGTGTTGTTGCTATTTACATGCTTTTATTTGCTTTAATTCGGTTATGCATGTATCTGGTATTATATTGCATGAAACTTTACTGTAATAATATATTTATGTAGATGGTTAACTTTAGATCTACTATAATAAATGAAGGTTTTTTTTTGCCACATGTTCTCTTCTCTTTCATTTAGATACATGATATTTTCTAACATTTTTAAATTTTCTATTTTGCACTTGTCATTTTATTATATTTTTTATTTTATTAAATTAATTCTACATTTAATATGTAAGGTAATATATATATATATATATATATATATATATATATATATATATATATATATATATATATATATATATAAGGTATTTATTAAAAATGATTTATATATGTAATGTATCCAATACATTAAAACCTCATTAATTTTAATAATTCAAAAGATTTCTCATTTTTCTTTATAAATTCAAACTTTTCAAATTGTTAAAATTTTATATTTATTTTTTTTTAAAATAAACCCATGTAATACATGGGTTTCACACCTAGTACTTATTAAAAAATGCTTCGTTAAATAAATTTCATTTAATATTATTTTGTTACATCAAAGAGTTGTTGAGGGAATTTTTTGTGTCTGGATGGTTTCGAATATTTCTGGAAAATGATATTCTGTGTCTTGATATATATATATATAAATGAATATGAAGCTGTTGTCGGATACGGCAGGAGTAGAACAAATATCGAACAAAGGACATAAAAAATCAAATTCAACTCCCAAAAGAAAAAAAGAAAAACAAAATACTTTCTTTCCATAATCCTAGGAAATAGAAATTTGTTTTGGATAATATCTTTATATCAATTATCTAAATAAACAATTAAGTTTCTTAAAAATGGCAAAACAAAAGACATTATTTTGAAGTCCCAAACAATCCCGAATAACAGATGAAGAAGTCTATCCGAGGAAATTGAGCATCCAATCTAAATTTTATTTTTCTTCGGTCTGTTGCAAATATATTGCAAATATAGAGTACAGGATCACCATGATATCTTTTATTAGTTATACGATTCTAGTTGATCAACCTTTTTAGTTATAGTATTTGTTCTCTTAGTCCTTCACATGCTTTAGTTTTTCTATATAAGGGCATTTCAACCTCTTTTTACAATGTACCTTTATGAACTTGTTGAATACAGCATCAATCAGATTTCTCCTTCAAACTTTAAAAATTTAAAATTTTTATATGATTTTCAACTTATGAAAAATAATGCGAAAAAGAAATTAGAAATATATATATATATATATATATATATATATATATATATATATATATATATATATATATATATATATATATATATATATATATATATATATACACACACACGTTATAGAATATATGTGGATTTCTAGCATTAGTGAAATTATGAAATAAAAATGTAAATTTTCAAGTATGAGGGATGCTATATATTTTGCATTGTTTACTAAAATATAACACACCTAAAATATATTTTAACCAATACAGGTTGATGTCTAGTTTTCATTTTGGATAGAAAAGAAGTGATGAAAGTTCCATGTTTCAAATGTATGAAACTGGTAGTATTAAAAGTTTTTAGTTGAGCTCAAAAGGAGAAGTTAATATCTATCCTTTAAAATTTGAGATAGTAAATTATTAAGGAAATTGGATGTTTAATGACCATGATCCACTTGGTAAATGATCGACGGGTAGATTTCTCGTTACATGTATTGTATAGAAAGTCATCAACTTCTTTTAATGGCGTTTGGGAGGAGTAATAACACATCCAAGATTCTCCCATAGAAAGTCACAAGGTAAAGCTACTAAAAATTTTACGGTATGGAGTAAAGTTATAGAATGAGAAAGTTATGTTCCAAGGAAATGTGGAAAGTGGTATCTCCATTAGAAACATTATTTTGGGATAATATCTGAAATATAGGAACAGGATACAAAACAACTAATGGTTAGGGAAGTTCTTAATAAGAGTATATTCGAAGTGATGTAAAAGTGTGAATTGTTAATATTAAGTGACAAGCAATTATGAAGATTATAAGTATTTAAAGTTAATAAAGTTATTAAGATTAGAAACATATATGAGAATTAAAAGCTATGTATAAATAAAAATATATATTATGCTTTATCTAGAATAATTGTTGATTAATTAATAGTTATTTGTTCAAAGATAAGCAACGATCAAATGTGGGGTATTTTGATATGACCTGAATTATACATATTTTTAAGTTATATATTCTATACTTTTCTACATGTTTTTAAAGATAATTCGTACTTAATTGTTATAAATTTGTATTTTGTATAATAAAGGACAATGTGTTAAAATGGGAGCTATAAATGTATATTTTAGATTTAAATTTTATAGTTTTAAGACAAAGCAAAGATTGATGAAGATTTAATTAAGTGTAATTCCATAAGAAATGAAGATTTCAAAGATTGTTGCTAATATTAGCAGATCGTGACATGATGTATATTTCGCACGTCAAAATAAGTTAGGTGGTGTTTGTTTATTCTCAGCAGATCTGCGTGGGCTCTTTTGTCTGCGCGGCGCAGACCACGCGCAGACTTAAAGGTTTGCAGTGTGTTTGTTTTTCTAAAGTGCGCAGACATAAAAACGTCTGCGCGAGGTTTTCACCACACAGACTTATGCCAACGTCTTCTAAAGTCTGCGAGTGTTTTAAACCTTAAAAAATGCATCCTTCTATTGTATCCGTCTCCATCATCAAACCTTCCTACCGTCCATATTTCTCCACTGACAGAACCCATCCATCTTCGATCCATCGACTATCATATCACCTCCGATTAGCACCTCCGTCACCGCCCTGCTCTCCGATCGAAGGCATCCAGTGACCAGGCACCCGCCGACTTGTACGATTCAGGCCACCAGCGAACAGGTTCCTTGCGGTTTTTTTTTTTAAAATTAACATGAAATTGAGGAATAATCTTGCTGTGAAAACTCTCTAATTCACTAAAAATCTTGTTTCTTGCTTCAAATTCTTGTTAAATGTTATTACAATACATGTATATCTCCTCCTTCACAATATGCTATTACAATACATGTATAGTACATTATCAGATTAGGTTTTTGCATACAAAAAGAATGGAACTACTATCATGTATCATGTATGTTTGATTGATATTCTGGAAAATAATATAAATATAGAGCCTATTTTGTTGAAATTAAGAAAATTAAAGAAAGTCTTGCCTTTTCTTTTCATGTTTATATCTCATAAGTAGTGCAGAACCAAAAGAGCGTTTTCCTATATGTGCAATAATGCTGTCAATTGTGAATTGTTTATTGTTATGAATTGTGAATTGTTTAATGCTTTGAAATAATGCTGTGAATTGTGAATTGTTTATTGTTGTGAAATAATGTTGTCAATTGTGAATTGTTTATTGCTGTGAAATAATGCTGTGAAAATTTGTGCTGAAAATGTGAAATAATGCTGACAACTAACGATATCTAACAAGTCACGTGAAAATCACACTTTAGTTGTTGATTGTTTATTGTTATTTGGTTTTAAAAATACTCTTGATTGTTTCAAATCATTATTTTTTTGTTGTAATGTGTATGATATGCAATACCTTATGAAATCATATTTATCAATTTGTGAATGCTACAATACCTTACGAAATTATTATTGTCTATGTTATATTGCTTATTAGAAATGGGAGAAAAACAACAATGGACCAATGAGCATTTAAAATGATTATTGGATACTTGTATTGAAGAAGTAGAGAGTGTCGGTAAAAAATGATTGAGTTTGCAGAAAGACTCATTGATAAGGCTTGGAAGAGTTCTTAAGGAGAAATTTGGGTTTGAGTTGAGTCAAAAACAAATGAAAAATGCATATGACAATCTGAATGCCAAATACACAGGATGGGTGTATTTAAAAAACAAAACTAGTAATATGAACAACACTCAAACAAACACTTTTAACTTAACAGCCGAGGAGTAGGATGATTTTAAGAAGGTATATATATATATATATATATATATATATATATATATATATATATATATATATATATTAAACATTTATGTTTGAAGTTGCCAAATATTCTTATACTATTTTTTGTTACATTTGGGTTTAGGGGCATCTGAAGGTTGCTTCATTGAGAACAATTCCACTGCCTTTTTCCAAATCTTTGTGCACGTCTTTTTGATGGAAATAGTACTACTGGTAATTTTAGGAGTTACTCACCCCAATCATTATCAGTAGTTGGAGCATTCTCTTGTCGTGTTCCACCACTTCAGATTAGCGCCACCCCTTTTCATGTAATAGATGATGATGGTGATGACACTTCCCACCATGAGCCACCACCTTCTACTGCTTCACCTTCTACAGCATCACCTTCTGCTGCTTCACCATCTGGTAACCCCAACAAAAGGGCTAAACCCTCAACTCCTATACCTCCTCGTGCCTTACCGTCTGCTTCTTTACCTGATGGAACTTCTATTGCTGGTACAAAGTTTGACTAAAGGGTATACAATCCCTAAATGTTTAGAGAAGTTAGAGGTGCTTCAGTTAGGCCCTACCGATCCTTTACACTTTGTTTCATATCATATTTTTGGAGGGACCATGAACATGAGAGAGATGTAGATGCATTTACCCGATGTTCCCGAGATATTATGAGGATGGCTTGAGATGAATGGTACAAGTTTAGGAGGTTTGAAGGATGGAAATATTGTCCAATGATTTTTCTATTGTTGAAACTATTTTGTTAGGTCTTTTTTCCTTTCTTGGAACTATTTTTTTTGTTATTTTGCTACTTGGAATATGGTTTATCTAATGTTTTTTTGGTACTTGAAATATGATTAATGTAATGCTTATTTGCTACATCAAATATAGTTTATGTAATGTTTTTTGCTACTTGAAATATGGTTTATGTAATGTTTTTTTTGCTACTTGAAATATGATTAATGTAATGTTTTTTAAGGTTCTACTTTGTTGATTTTAGGTTCATAATGGATCACGATCAAAAGTTACTTCTAGTAATTCTTATGCACCTGTACATCCGTTTTTTTAGAAGAGGGGTGTGAAACAATTGCCGGATAATGATTCGGAAATGACAGGACATGAATACACATTAGAGTTGTTACATCGTAATCGTTTACAATGTGTTGAAGTACTACGCATGTCCTGTGACTCTTTTGTACGACTATGTGCTAATTTTAGAGCAAATTACTCATTAAAGGACAGCAAACATGTATCGGTTGAGGAAAAGATGGTCATGTTTTTTATGATGATCGGCCATAATCAATGTTACATGATTATCAAGAGGAGATTTCAACACTCGAAGCAAACAATTCATAAATTTTTTTGATGAAGGGTTGGAAAAAATGATGCTTTTCGCACAAGATGTTATAGTACCAACTTCTTTTAATCTGAATCCAAACATTCCAGGACATAATAGGAGGCTACGTCAGGTTTTCAAAGGGGCGGTTGGTGCACTTGATGGCACATTGATACATGTTGTTGTCCCTGCTAAGAAACAAGACTTATATAGAAGTAGGGGAAAGTGAGACTGCTACCAAAACGTATTGGCAATTTGTGACTTCAATATGATTTACACACTTGTTGTGGCTGGGTGGAAAGGGGTAGCGCATGACTCTAGAATATTATCTAAAACAATAATCGATCCACAATTATCATTCCCGTTTCCACCACCTGGTAAGTTTTTTTTTTTTTAAATACTTTTATCGTAGTTTGAAAATTGATTAGTGTTTTGCATTTTTTACATACAAGTATTATCTTTGTGATGCCGCGTATGCACACACTCGAGGATTTATGGCCCCTTATCGTAATGTGAGGTATTGGCTTGGAGCTTTTCGTCAAAGATGTGCATTGACCAATAAGGAAAAATTTAACCATAGACATGCAAAACTTCGGAATGTCATTGAGCGTGCTTTTGGTGTTTTGAAAGCACGCTTCCCTATACTGAAGAGGATGGCACCATTCCTGTTTGTGACAAAAAGAAACATTGCCATGCCATGTTGTTAGAACTAAGTTCTTTAGGATCATATGATTCTAACCAAGATATAAAATAAGAACGTAATAAGAACACAAGTATTGCGCTGAATATGTCAAATGATTAATGCAATAACACCTCAGAAGAGCTCGATAAAGAACTTCAATCTGTAGAGGCGTTTAGGGTTACAAGAATCAACGTAAGGAAAAATTTGTTAATATATGCATACATGCATATATATATATATATATATATATATATATATATATATATATATATATATATATATATATATGCATGTATGCATATATTAACAAATTTTTCCTTACGTTGATTCTTGTAACCCTAAACGCCTCTACAGATTGAAGTTCTTTATCGAGCTCTTCTGAGGTGTTATTGCATTAATCATTTGACATATTCAGCGCAATACTTGTGTTATTGCATTAATCATTTGACATATATATATATATATATATATATATATATATATATATATATATATATATATACACATACATACTACAACCCTAACAATTAATCTAGATAACTACGTAACTATTCTAGATAGACACGGATGGACAGACCCAATCCGGATACAAAACACTTAGCCCAAGACGCAACACAAATATATTCAACAATCTCCCCTTTTGCGTCCTTGGAGCAGAAAATTCATTCCTTCTTAACAACAGAAGGCTTCTTCACTGTTTTAAACACCATCGGTATAATGGCCAGAATATGTAGTGGTGTTGATTCTGATGGCATATGTGGAATTAGAAAGATCTAGTGAATCATCATGTAAAATTCAAGAACACATGGAGTAAATAACTCTTTGTAAGCTCTTATTAGATCTAGAAAGATTATACAAATGGGTTTGTATACAATTTCTCTCTCTAGTCTAACACTCCAACATGGACTCTTACATAATGGGAGTCACTCACTTCCTATTTATAGGAAAAGACTCAACCCATTTACACATACAAAGAGGAAAGCCTAAAACATTACATCCAAGCATGACTTTGCACCATAACATTCTCCCCCTCAAAGTTAGGATTGGATGTCCGGCTTTAATCTCCAACGAGCTAGCGCGATCAAGACCAAACTCCCTCTCGAATTAACACCGGTCTTCAAATCCGCAAATGAATATTCGACAAACCCGAGAAGCTTCGAATACCCATCATTTCTCCCCCTTTTTATAATCAAAAAATGATTAGAAAACCCACTAAGGATGAGAAGCACCCGAGGAATAGTCTTCACGATACTCCCCCTTGATGTGTACCAAAAATGAATCACCAAAAATCTTGCACGGCAAAACAATCACGAAAAAGCCACAAAAATTTTCAATTTATGAAAATTTTTGACTTTTTGGGTGAAAGTTGCAAGATTTTTCAAAAATCGGGTAAATATTGTCACTTTCTGAAACTTCCAGAGACCTATTGCGCCAAAAAACAGTCAAATATGCGAAACTCTAGCCCATTTGTGAAACCGGGCATAAAGCGTAAATTCGCACAAACTGCAACGACCAAAGATGAAAGTTCTGCAATTTCTCAGCTTTAATTGCCATTTGCAAAGTTGGGTATTTATTTCCAAAAATGAGAAACTCCAGGGATGCTTTTTGAAAATTTCTGCATGTTCTTCAAACTTGCGAAGTTGGACTACTTGTGGCATTTCGTGAAAAGATCAGGGGCCAAATGCGAAACTCTTAGCTTTCTTCCCCAATTCGCATTCTACTGTAAAAGACTTGCGCATGTTCCATATTCCTCGCATCATTCTTATAAATTTTTCGCATCTTGTATCCATCTAAACAAATGCGAACTGTGAATCACCTTCGCATTTTTAATCCAATTAACCAAATGCGAAATTAATTTTCAAAACCAAATGTGAATATCACATTCTCAGATGCGAACCTAAAATTTCAAATGCGAATCCAATGAAGATCCAGATGCGAACTTTATTGAGATACTTTCGCAAAATCAACATCAACAACTCCAAAATCGAGTTTTCATTCTTTTGCAAACATCGATTTCCCAGTCCTTCTTGACTTCGCATTCTCCTTCACGAATCGTCCATCCATCATTAACCCAATATTGACATCAATTACAATCGATTCCAAAAATCATCGACATTCGCATCTTGATCCAAAAATCAAATCTATTCATCTATTTGACATCAATCATCTTCCCAATTCTTCGATTGCTAGAAATTGAAGTCAAATTTAACCCCCCAAGCAAACAATTCTAACTTCGTCTTCTTCTTCCAGCCCTATGCATCAAAATCAAATTTCTCAAACATTTGATGTAGCTTTCGAAATTAAAAATCATCAACCATCAATCCAACTCGCACAAATCAATTCTCGATGGTCGATACCCACATAATCATTTCGATGACAATTGGTTCTCAACTTCTTCATTAAGAGACTTCCATAACGAAACTGTTTTGATTTTTGACTCAAAACATATACATCATCGAACAATCTTCAAGCATCGATTTCTAATCATCGATTTTGAAATTCAAACTTTCGTTGACTATCAATTTTGACTCTCCAGTTATGCGATATTGAAATCCAATCAAAAGTATCAAAGATGAAAACTCGATCTGATTATGAATCAGATTCATGAATGATATATCTTGCAAGACCAGACATCATCAAAGTTTTGTTTCGATTAAAAGATCAATTACAAATACCATATTGTATTTTGATTTTACAAAACAACATCTAGATCATAATCGATTTCATGTTTGCACAGTCTAAATAGTATCGATTCACAAGACGATTTCAACAAATAGTATCCATTGACTGTTAATAAGAACAGGATGAACCAGAACTCGTATGAACGCAGTCAAGAATTTTTGAGAGTACAAGTACTTTAAGCATGTGATGAAGAACGAACAAATTGCTTATTCTTTGGGCTTCAACATTAATAAACTCGTATGAATCAATTTATGAATATGGGCTCAAATGAATGAAAGAATAGTAATGGATCATAAATGGGCAACGAAATCAAATACAGATGAACAGAAAAAAAAAATTGGAATTTGATTTTCATTTACATTTGATGAATAGTAAAAGAATTTTGAGAATTTGATTTTTATTTTTGACCTTTTGATCTAAGAAAAATAATTGGATCAACTATGGGGTTGAAAATGAATTAGATCCAATGAGGCAAATCGATCAAAAATTGAAAAACGCAAAGTACGAATCGAAATCATGGATGTTTTGGAATCCATTTGAGAATTTGAGATACCTTTTTGACGAATCGAGTTTCGTTTTCAACGAACGAATCAAATTTGGAAGATCTTGGTTCTTTTGTTGGAATGAGAAAATCTCCAAATCGAACATTGTACCACCCACTATGCGAGATGTACAACTCGTTCTTCGTGTTCTTCGTCTTCTTCATCAAACCACGAACATCTTCAAAAGAACCACCAACACATTTGGGTTTTGACTTCAAATTCAATGCAACCTTTGGAGATTGTTGCTTTGGAACCCAAATTTGCTTCACGGATTTTGGC